TCATATGATTCCCTTCGCTTCATGTTTTTTCTTAGCAGATGGAGTGATACGAGCGTCATAAACGGTCGTCCATTTGTGGGCGGGCGGGTCGGCACATATGTTGTAGCTTGATATGGCCTTATAAGGGTACCTTCCTAGGAAAAGGAGCTACGCAGCGCCTGCTCAAGGTCGCCAGATTCCTTCCTGCCAGGCATATTAATCATATTGTTCCTAGGGATTTACCCTGCCTTTAAATGTTTAGGTGTTTAGTATAACAGCATCGGATTGGGTGGAGTGGTAGTGTCAGCACGACCCCCTCCCCCTCCAGTTTCCTCCTACAGCCTCAGTGGACTCGGGATCGGGCCTAGCTTGAGTCCTGACTAAGGCAAAATGCTCTCTATTTCAGTTTGCCATCGTTACCCTTTCGTTTTGCCATCGTTATCATATGAAGGAGGCGTTTGGTTGTGCTACGAAAACCTTGTTATAGGGGGCCGTTCTAGACCGCTGTATCATTTACCCTCTCTTCAGTTTTCATTCTTAATTTCATTATTCCATTCAGCTATAACCTTTCAGTGTTGCCGACGATCCTTCAGTATTAGAATATCCCGATGTGCCAGGTATGGACAAAAAATGCTTCTTTTGGATGCACGACGAACCAGAAACTACAAACGTCGACGCGCTGTCGAGAAGCAATACTCATGAGGTGAATTTTCGCATGTGGAGAGAAGAACTTCATACGCCTTTTATGAAAATTTTGCAAATTTTACTTCTATACCATTAGGTTTCTTTAGGTGAATATGATAGTCGCTTTGGTCTCATATTTACAAAAACAAGAAATAAAGTTAGAGGAGGTAGGAACACAACTTTATTTTAATCCATTTTAGCGAAAGAGTAAATGTTTTTTTATTATAATACTGATTTAGATAACCATTATTACAACTTACTCTGCCCAGCAGACAGAGATGCGACAAGCTGTAATCAATAAGTTCGGCCGTAATGAAAACGATCAACCGTCGGTAGCTGTTGAAACTGTGGATGGTTTCCAAGGAAAGGTATTGATTGGAGCGATTGTTATAACATTCACTCAGCGATCTAATTGATTTTATGTGGAAATGCTGTAGTAAAAGGACAAGGGATGAGGCTCTCGTCGTTGATCAATCCACTTTTAGGATCCGGGCGCATCCTACTTCAGTTTGGCCCCTTAGTATCTCTGGGGAATCCCTTTCGGGTAGGGGTGGATGGTGTGTGTAGTCGCTGTGCTCGCGTTTGTTTCTGCGCACATCGGTCTTCTCTTCGAGCTGTCGTATCTGGCTTCAATAACCTTTCCCTTGTTTGCTTGCGCTACAAATTTTTTCCGGTCGTCGTTTTCGCGCTTTTTCCCGCTTCCACATGAACTATGCTCCCTCCCCTCCGCCCGCCTGTCCCCCTGCTCGCCGGCAAAATTTTAAAATTCTAAACTTGAAATTCTTCGGGAACCTTAGGAAAAGCGGTATGAATATGAGAAAAGTCAGAAAGATTGCTCTGGCCATATTTGAATTCCTCGTCCAATTCCCTTTTGTTTGAAGGAAAATCGAATAGTGATTGTGTCCCTTGTGCGATCGATGATGGATGGAATCGGATTCCTAGAGGTTAGTCATAGAGCTGTTTCCACCAACTTTGTCGTAATGTATGCGTCTGGTTCTGAAATGGATCGAATTCCAGGTGAGGAATCGAATTACGGTAGCGTTGACACGAGCGCGTCATGGCATGTATGTCATTGGCAACCTTGTCTATTTGGCGGATTGCTCATCGTTTTGGCGTCAGCTGGGTACTGACATGTACGACAAGGGATTTGCTGATTCGTTTTTGCCGATTCGTTGTCAACGTCATGGGAATGTCCAGGTTTACTTTTTCATAAAAAGCATTTTGTGTCCCGAATAGTTGTTCAGTTTTTTTTTCTAGAAAATTGAACATCCGAATGAATTCGCTGAAAAATCGCCGGAAGGTGGATGTATGGAAATCTGTGATGCTGAACTTCCATGCGGTCACAATTGCCCTCGTAGGTAGGTTTTCAGATTAATTACCGTAGGACTTTCTTCCTGCTTCTATTTGTCCGTGCTAGTCTTATTAGGGTCTCTACGCCGCGTCGAAATCGTTTGTAAGCTTTTGTCAAACTACTACTTACAGTCTCGTTCGCTGCGGATGAAGGGGCGTGTCAGGCGGGAGATGGGATTGGCACTGCGCCAAACCTGTTCTCCACCAGTTGTTGAAGAGGGTAAGCGATTTCCTCGCCTCAACAACTGGTGTCCCAGGCGGAGTGGGTTAGACGCCGTGCCAAACCAAGCCCCCCCCCTTCTGATACACCCAGCATACACAGCGAGTAAGACTGATCCTAGGACAAACTTCACTGCAAAGATGAGTATAACCATTCATAGGTGTCATCCGAATGATGATCATGATACCTGGAAATGTACTGGACAGTGTATGCGCCGATGCAAAGATGAACGTTATCTACATCCTTGTCAACGAACATGTTCTGAGGTACGAATACACCTAGTTGAAAGTGGTTAATTATGATTGAAGCGGGCGCCGTTTGGCTTGGTGGGGCACTACCCAAAGGTGCCCAGTGAAGTATGTACAGACCACCTTGTGAAGAGCTGTAATTTTCTGTAGCCAAAGTAGATCAGTTGTACAGTTTCGCAGCTTTACACGACTTTACAGGTCTCACCAAAATGAGACCTGTTAGTTGACAGAAACTAGCAAGAGGAACTAGCGAAAGTGCAAAGTGCTCCTTCCAAACTGAACAGCCCCCTTTACATGCTGATGCGTCGTAATGAGCGTTAGAGAATCAACTTTATGACATCATACCGATTTTTCAGCCATGTGGAGATTGCGCTTATGTGGTCAAAATTCGTCTAAAATGTGGTCATTCTACCAATGTGATGTGTTACACGTCGGACAAAGCAGTTTGTCATGAGCGGTAAGTTACAAGGAATAAGGCTATGAAGAAGCAGGGTTAGGGCACTTTGTAGTAGGTTGGGGAACCCACAACGGGGAGAGGTAGAGAGGGGTCGGACTTGACCTGAGAATTTTTTTTCGATTTTTGATTGTTCCCGCAACACACGCTATACTCTCCCCAGTTGGCGGCAAAACTGCTATTTGTGGAAGTTGAACAGAAGTGTGTATCTCCC